CCACAGCCCCCCCACAAACCCACACACCCCCACAAGCCTATATGCACCCCCCATGATATACAAAAGTAAGACTTCATTTTAAACTATTGTGCAATCACCTCTATACTACACAAATGCATGTAAATCAACACAAAAATATTTTTTGAAATCAAATTAATGAATGCTGTAGATGTTTGCTTTTTAAAATAATTTGGTATTTTTCTGGTTCTGAGATGGCAAAACCCCTTGCTGAAAGGAGTACTTCCAGGGGCAAGGGGAGGGACTTTGGGTGGCAATGGTCAGGGGTTAGAGGCCAGGACTTCTGGTCACAAGATGGCAACCAGGGGGAGGGGCGGCACCTGTCAAGGGGCAGAGCTACCCATGTGGCCCTCAACAGCTTGTCAAAACACGGTAAGCAGCCCTCTGCCCAAAATAACTGCCCGCCCCCAAGATAAGAGGTCGCTTCAAAAGTCAAAGACTGTCCTCCATCTTCTAAGGGAACTTGGTCTGGGACGGGAGTGATTTCAGGACACGCTGGAGCTGACTGGGTCACAACAGAACCAAATTGGTGTGGCAGGCAATGTTACAACAAAGTGACTGAAATGCAAGCTCTCTGCACCTTTCAGAAGAACACCAACACATCTTAGAGCTTATACCCTGCCTTTGCAGCCCTCCCTACCCCCCCAAAGTGACAATGCAGAGAGAAAATGAAAAACCAATGCCCTGGATCTGTTAGAAGGATAGTTTAAAACACAAAAGCCTGTTAAACACACGGCAGTCCCGCCAACTTGTACGTAAAACCTCAAGAGAAGATAAGGAAGGAGACTTGGACCACAAAGTGCACTTTTCAGGGTGCCTTCTTCCTTCCTTGGCCAGTAGACAACTTGGTTCTTACTGTGAAGGAATGCTTCAGCGAAGTTTTCTCTGGAACAAGGAGGAAACATGGTGGGTGCCACTTTCCATTCCAGATGAAGGAATGAAGGTGGGGTGTGGACTAGATTTTATGCTTACATGGCACTCTGGTTTTAGGAATACAGCACTGCAAGGAAGGCTGCATTGCAGCTTCCCATTAAACTGTGGAAAATTGCTAACTATATGAATTATTGTGGGATCTATTTTGGATTTGTTTGTTTCTGAGCAGTTTCTTGGCAGAGATGTCTTCTGTATTCTGCATGATAGATACAGAAATGCTTTCAGAAAGAGAAAATCTATGTAGATATAGAAAGGAAGTGCCAGGATGAACACACTAGATTGGGTTTTAGTGACTAAACTTTTCAAAGAAGTGAGCCCAGGGACTGAAATGCTGTTCTCCAACATCATAGTAGGAAGCAAATGCTATTCCGGAAAGCTGGAACCTTAGCTTAGGTTAAGCCAGGCCAAAGTCTGAGTTACATTTCAGCAGCAGGGCGGCAGCTAGCTGAAGGCTGTAAAGAGATGACTGCTATGTCTGATTTCTAATATGAGCTTTTTAATCTAAATGGATGGATTTGTTAAGAGTCCTTAAGTAATCTTCTATTTTCTGTATCTAAAACAAGCTCCAGAATCTTTCTACTCTTTCCTCTTTTTACTGTTTCCACAAGACCACAGACTTAAACTCCTATACTAAGACTGCACAGTATAATACTGCCCCTTACTGACTGCAAACAGACTGTGCTTCTCACTTACAAATACAGTCTGTTTTTTTCCCTTGCTGCCATCTGTTGACTTAATACTACCTTTCACCCTCATCTACACAACACCATGGAGAAATCATTTTGAGTTCTTTGTCCTGGTAAACCAATTGTCCCTTCTGTCTCTGGAAATATCCATACTGTGGAGATGTGCCCAGCTACTTGCAGGTTTCTTTCCTCTCTGGGGTGCAGCTTCTTATAAAAAGTAACATTTCTTCCTGTTTGTCTCCCGGAGTGCTGCCTGAATGCACAAGGTTGCTGAGGAAAGACATCCTTTGCTATATTCTTCCCCATGATCAGGTAGGGCCAGCAGGAGCTTTTCTCTACCTAGCGCTTGATGAATCTATGAGATTAAGAGCCCACTGTAACTGTCTTCTAAAAGCTTTAACCCCATTGGCACTTTTACTGATAGCTTTTTTACAAAATTACTTTCATCATTTTCCCCATTTTCATGGGGAATACATCTGTAACTCTTCACTTCCTTTTGGGTACAGCCTGAAGCAGTTCCCGGAGTGTTGATGACTGCAATACTCCTCAAGGAAATTTGCTAGGTCTAGATCAATGCTGTGTTTTAGGGTCCATTTATCCATGACTCCTAACTATTACTCCTAGTCCAGGTAAAACATTCTTTGCAGAAAGCAGTGCATTTTCCTTGTATATAATGACAGGTTTGTTATATTAGCAGAGGCAAAATTGTGAAAGATGACATTTAAAAACCACTACTCTGCTGGCAGCAATGCTATACACCAGAGAAGCTACACCAAAGGATCAAATGCAAATTTGTAGCTACAAGTTTTCTGCAGTTCTCCAAAAGAACCAGGAGTGATTACAGGACAGCCTACCATCTCTGGAGGATGTGGAGGGGCAGAACAGGGAGGAGAAAAAAAATAAGTCGGTCAGATGCAACCCTGCAAGAGTTCTGGCAAAATCTTCAGACCTTATTGAGGCTACTGAAGGCCTGTATCTGGCAAAATGAAAGTTCCACAGCATAAAGTTATTCATGTGCTTAAGTACTTTGCTGAAAGGGCATGGACTTAATTAAGTGCTTTGCTAAATCACTGCCTGGGAGCCCAGGGCTCTCACAACAGCTTAGAATCAGGTCCTTAAAGCTTTGGCAATTCAGTCCATGCTTTTTTGTTTCTCAAAACCATAATTAAAATGTGAGAATGATGTGTCCGATTTGTCACAGATGAAACACTAAGGGCTTCTTGAAGACATGGTTACCAAAGTTTAGTTGTATGAAGTGAAGTTCCAAAGGCAATTTTAAGAGCTGACAGGACTTTTTGATACAATGAGGAATGTAGCGATTTTTTTTATATATTTTAATTTTTGGCTTTGCAAGTCCTTTTAAAGAAATATGCTTTATCTTCTTTCTTAGAGCATAAATAAAATCTCATTTTTATATAACATAGGACCTGTTGTACAGAATTATACTATTTTAAGGTACAGAAGTGAAAAATATCTTATGCCCCCTATAATATACATAAGCTAAAACTTCATTTAAAACAATTCAGCTCATTCTCATTCTGAAGCATACTGCAAAGAAAGTATTCATCTCAATACTATTTGGTAGCATATAAGCTATTGGAAGCAAGAGAGACCTTTTATGGAGAAACACTGGCCTTCTGCTTATAACAAACACAGGTGTAGGTGCTTCACACCTTCCCAAGGTACTTCTTAATAAAGTGTCCCACTAATTTTTGTGGTCTCTGCTGATACTCCACAAGTACATCATGAGGGGTGTTGATCTGATCCCCTTCAAGTCGATTCAGCAGTGTGACGCACACCACAGCAGCTAGAGATGATAAAGATGGCATTAGTTAGAAATGACAGTTTAGTAATTTCACAGTGAAAAAACATAAAGGCATCTTCTATTCCTACAACAAACCAAGACATCAAAACAGAGGGAGAGTAAATAGGCAGGGAAACAATGACCCAGCAGAGGGTACAATCAGTTCACAATCGAACTTGCCAATTAAAATAACTAGACCAGCATGCTTCACATATATACATGTATATGTACACACACACACGCGCGCTTTACTAATTGCTTCTGAAAGCTACCAAGATATTAATAAGTCAGAGGCCCATTCTGAAAATGTGTTGCTGCTGAATTATTATAAACTTTTTCCAAGGAGGATTTCTTTTTCAGTAAGCATTTGAAGCCTGCCTGGTATAATTTCAAGACTAACAGCTAAATCCTTTTTCCCTTTCCACATCTAAATGACATGCAGCCCCATGCCTACAGTTTTTGCTACTTACTCAGAGTTTTGAGGTTTAGGTCTGGGCATGCAAGTATGTGCCTAATGAGACTGTCTGGCAGGGTTTCACTGTGCCTCAGCAGGTATGCGAGAACACACGATTGGCTGGGTTCATGCACAAGGCCAGGTAAGTACTGAATTTTAGTTGAGCAAAAACCACAAGAAGGAGGTGAGGCAACATCTCTCCTACCACTTAGACCAATAGTCTAGTGTTTACAGCACATGGGAGGTGGAAACCCAATATCTAGCTCCCCACCCAGCCAGAAGCTGTTTGAATGGCTAACTCCTGCTTCACAGGGAAGTACTCTAACTGCCAAGTCAAGCTTAAACATGACCCAGACCCCACTTCAAACCTTCTCTTGAAGCTAGGCCCCTGGACAGCCAGCAAAAAGAGGGAGATATGTGACATTTGGAGGAAGAGTACGAGACACAGGGTGTGTGCCTCAGTGAGATGGATGTTGCCTTGGAATAGAGAAAATCCTAGATCCTAGACTGGACCTTTGCTCCCAATGGGGCAGAATATTCTCTACTGCTCCCCATCCATTTTATCCAATGTGTAGTTAATGCAAGTTGAAATGGGTCAGCTTTAAGAGGAAGGCTAGAGAGAAGCCTGACTAATGCCTAGTCTGTGGCTAGTGCATTGCGCTGGGAAGAAGATGTGAAATCAAAGACCCATGAGGAGGCCTAGAACCTAGGTCATCTGCTCTCTGAGCAAGTATACATGCAGGGTGATTCTATTTCACCACAGGGCAAAATAAAATTCCAAACTGTGTGAGTGCCCAAAACTACAGTTAGGTGGCTATTTGCATGCCATTTAGACACACAAAGTGAAATACAATTTAGCCCTAAGGCTCTATTCCACTAAAGATCAAGCTCTACCTCATTTACTTCATCTGACCAACTTCTAGGGACAGTTTCCTGAGCAGAATGAATACAGAGCAGGGTTAGAGTGAGAGAGAGCCGGAGAGGAAACATCTCTCTCAAAGTCAACTTTACCAGGCACCGAGTGACTTTCACTTTCAATAAAGTCAGTGGGCACCAAAGGCACTCTCCCTCTTTAAACCAAGAGGAGAGAAAAAGAAGCAACAGTTTCCCCATATGAAGTGACTCTTTCATGCTCCAGACCACTTGGAAAAATGAAATCTATGACAAATATTCTCTAATCACTCTGAGGTGGTATGCGGTATTTTGCCCTTGGGAGGATTTTTTGTTTTCCAGACTTCCCAAGAAAGGTGAAAGTCAAAATCTAGTTTAAGTACTCTATGCAAATTTGCATTCAGGTACATAATCTTTCAGTACTTTTGATTTTTTTCCCCACAAATCCTCTTCTTTGCTGCAAGCCCTGTGAATATGGCAAACATTTAGTTTGTTTCTCCAAGGTCAGTTACCTCAAGTTTCAACTTCCTAACAACTGAAAATTCACAGGAGATCGGACTTTTATAAAGTGGCCACCAGATTATTCACCAAGCTACAAAACACCCTTCTTAACTGTTTCAGAATTGCAAATGCAAGTAATAAATTTTCCAATTTGAACACTTATAGAAAGCAACTATAGTTTTATGCATGTAGAGGCTTCCTGACTGACTCAGATAAACTAGTTTATTTATTGGAACTTAAGAAGTTAACTGAATTTAAGTCCAGTTGACCTGATGAGTAATTTAGCTATGTTTTCTTTTTAGTGCTTTCCAAGAGCAGAAATAGGTATTAGTCAGGACTAAACTGGATGAAAGCTGTGAAGGTGTTTGCATAGACCTTCATTGCATAGCTCTAGCAAGCATCCTAAAATGAATTTAACATGAACTATACATTGCTGACGGTAGTGTTATCATAATTTTCTATTGGAATTCACTTAATGTTTGTTTTTAGTTCACTAGTTTAGTCATTTTTATTGTAAAAAAAAAATTGAATAAAATGGCATGTAATCAATTACCTTTGATACCACTAAGCTTACACATAGCAGCAAAAACTGATGATTCCATCTCAATGTTTCTAACTCCGGCATCATACGCTTCCTTCAAATACTGCAGTTTCTCTCCTTCAGTGTAACTGCAGATTGCACCATCCAGACGGGCTTGGCCTATCAATTAGATGCATAGAGACTTTTTTCATATTGATGAAATCAAGGGACATTCCAGACTGCAAGGGCCACATGACTGTTACACTCTAATACATCCATCTCAATTTATCACTGTGTTGCTTACCTTTTGCACGTGAAAGATAGTGGATAGCACAGTCCATGACTGGAACTCCCAAGCTTTACAGTAATAGATATGATACTAATATTAGTGGAAGTTGTTATTATTCATAGTTAGGACACAATAATTTGAAATGGGAAAAAAAAAATCAACTACATTTTCACATCCACACACAAGAAAACATAGGACAATCTCCCAAGTGAATGATATATGAAGAATTTTAATTGAGGTTATGCTCACTTTGAGCTGGTTTGAGATACTGTGTACATTTAAGCTTAACAGTTCCCTAGAAAAAAAAACCCTCCAGACCTATAAATGCTGTTGTGAAACTCCTTTATTATATTAAGAGGAGAAACAACTGAAGCCACTTTTGTATACAAGACGTTTTAAGATAAGGGATCAAGAATTTCTTAAACTCAGGTAATACTGGTGCCTGTTTTCTGAAGTGGCTTATGCCAGCCACTTGGAGCTTCAACACCAGTAGGATTAGATATCTTCTATCACGCAATTCTAAGCTATATGCAACCAAGATAAATATAACATGGTTCTCAAGCTTGTATCTTTCTGTTTTCAGGAGTTGTACTCACAAACAAGAAAGTGCTTACACCCAAACTCAGTTTTTGTAATACATTTTGTGGCACAAGCTGGAAACCTGCTGCTTTGATTTTCAGCCCTAATGCATGAACAATAACTTCATCATCCCTTCAACCTGTGCTTGAAGAAAGGCACAAACTAACACTGCTTTGCCTGGGACTTGCCTTGTACATTGTTGGCAGACCTTCAGGCTAAATATTCCTCCAAGCAAAGTCATTCATTTCATTGGAGTTAACAGGTTTGCTCATCTCAAAAGCTGAGAGTGTAAGTGCTTTGTTGGACTGGGGCCTTTATACCAAAGTAAAGTTGGATTTTCATATGTTGCTGTTTACTAATGTTCTTTC